ACAATCAGCTGGTAAATATTAGCTTTAATTCTATGTAGCGAACAGTTTTAAATACACTGTATTTTGACACTTAATAAACACAAAGGAAACAGCTGTGACAGGATGAAATAGCAAAAATGAAATGTGTACACAAAAAAACAATTGTAATTGTGGATAAACAAAATCAATTGACAACAACAATATAACTAAATGAAAGAAAACACTCGTTACACACAATTAATAATATTAAATTAAATTGATCAAATTCACAAGAAAGTTTGATATTTTACCTAACTTTAATTGCGCACCAAACGTTTCTTAATACTTTTCAATCAATGTAAAAACACTTGCAAAATAAGATATTAAATGAGAGCACAAACAAGCAAAACTTCGCAGCGTTTTGGAAAGAAATTTATAATAAAAGGATAACTAAGAAAAATAAAGCGGGAACGAAAACTTTTATTTGTTTTTCAAAGAAAATACTTTAACAAAAATTTACCAAAATGAACTAAAATTTACCTTTCTACCAACCCAAATATTTTCTACCAAATTTGGTAATAATATACTGAAGTGGCCACTCTGGTCAGGCGGCACTCAATGCTCTTTTACGGTACGAAATTAAACCATTGTTGGTCCTTGAATGCATTGAGATGCCTAACTGCCTTGGCTAGAACAACAATATCCGACTAGCGAGGGTACCTGGCTACATGGGAATTAGGGATGCCAAAATATCAGGAAAATTGGGGTCCCAGGATTTCGGGATATTTTTTAGGTAATCCCGGGATGCCGGGATTTATCCCGGGATTCAAAATGAGTCATAAATTTTATGAATATGAGTAAAAATTCAATATCTGAAAGCATTTAAACATACCATTAAATAAAACTATTTAAAATTTACGATAAACTGATTGTAAAACTCATATATCGCTAGCTTAGAGTGAAAAGTTGCTAACTTCACTTTTATTGAAAAATCATATTTTGATATAGGAGGCTAGATAAATTAAAATTGTATCGTTTCGAAAAGGGCAAATGTCCTTGTTTTATGTTTTCTCGTTTATATTCAATGAAAGCAAAATTTGCTAAGGCCAAAAAAGCTCCGAAAATTCGATAAGGCCAAGAAAGTTCGAAATCTTTTAATAAATCCCTCCGATTCGTATGGAGTTTAGCTTTGCTTTAAACAGGCAAAATGTTGTATTCAAAGTTTGGCGAAATACTTGAAGAAAATGGCTATACGAAGTTTTTTCCTCTCCTGTACAATTTTTAAATTGGGACTTATCAACTTTGCACTCTACGCTAGAGATATTTTTTAAATCAGACAAATTTTAAAGTAAAACATTGTTTTAATTGTATTTAAAAAACCATGTGATTGAGGAACTTATACATCACAAATAATAATGTAAATACCAAGTACTTTTGAAAGTGACGATTAATAAAAAAAACATAAAACAAAAATATACAAAAACAATTTCTCTAAACATATTTATTCAACTCTATAAAGAAATGGCGAATGAAGAATTTTTGTTGTGTTGTTATTGTTGTTCTTAAAATGTTTTCGTAAGAGCAGCAAAGCATTCAAAGCGGAGTCTTCTAAGCTTGACCTGCAATTTTTACATACAAAACCTACTGATGAAAAACATATTTCGGCATGAACACTTTTAGGCTGAACTGTCAAAAGCTAGACATAATCCATTTGAGGATAATGACCCATATCTCCTCCATTACAAAATATTTGAACTTCTTTTACCAGCACGTCGGTCAAATTATAAGTTTTTCGATTTGAGGAAGTTTTGAGTAGATTGATCTAAAAAATTATCCTTAAAACTCTCTGTTTCGTTTACATTAGCGACGCTATGAGTAAATTCATTGAAATCTTCTTCAAAAAAGGCTCAGACTGCAATTTAAAAGTACAGTTTCAAGTTTTTTGTTAACTGCAGTCAAAACGGCATTTTACAAAAATCATACTTTAAAATTCATAAACAAATTCTTACTATCAATTCGATATTTCAAAATTTTCGGGATCCCGGGATTAATGTAAGCAAATCCCGGGATTTCCGGAACGTCAAAAAAATGGGATCCCGGGATTCCGGGATTGGCATCCCTAATGGGAATAGAAAGTAACGAAGCGGCGCACTGTCTCGCAACAGAGGCGCAGCCATCACTCCAGTTGGCCCCGAGCCCTTCTTGGGAATAGGTCCGAATACTATAAAGGAGGGGCCAAGGAGGGGCCAAGGAGGGAGAAGAACACTATGACACACCTCTTAAAAACTTTTTTTCAGCTTAAGAAAAACGATTTTTTCAATTTTACCTCTGCTGACAACAATTGTTAACTTGTTAAATGGAAAGTACATAATTTTCATGCAATTGTAGTTGCAAGTAAGCTGTGAAATTTTTTATACCCGAGCGCATAACTAATCCCTGTATGTATGTTACCGCATAACTTTGGACCACGTCAACCGATTTCTTTTTGCGTCGGAAAGGTAGTGTTGCAGAGGTGGTCCCATACTAATCTGGTTAAGATTCGATCACGGGATCATGAGATATATATATATATATTTTTTTTATATGGGAGTTGAAGTCGGTTTTTTTTAGCTAAAAATTACTTGTCAATGATTATTTTTTGTGCAAGTTAGTCGCATCTTGGTGCTTTTGTGTCATGATATGATCATTTTTAAGTGTTTTTCTTTCGACCTCTCTTTTCAAATTCTACCCACTTTTCTTCATCTTTCTTTAAATTTCGCGTCGATTTTCGGCAGTTTCTTCCAAACAAAAAATTGTCGAGCATACTTTGTGTACTCGCCTTGTTTAAGCACCCACGGATTGATTCCGTTGTTTATAAACCATTCGTCACTAAAATTTTTGACTTTATTGTCGATTAATTAAATAGCATATGTAAAACATTCATATGTATATGAACGCATGTACATTAGGCTGGGTAAGTGTCGATTTCAATAAATCGCATGGTATTTCCTGATACCTGCAGATAATTCTAATAGAGAGTATAGAAGAAACAATTGCTCGGAAATGAGTTTCGAGCCAGCGCATTTTTAACTGAAAAAATTAGCTTTTCACGAATTAGTTTTTTTTAATCTTTTCTTAAAACTTTTGCATATAAAATGCCTGTTAAGTTTCTTACATTTCCTTTTTTTGTATAAACCATTTTTAAAAAGCAAATCGTTACCTAAAGGTCAATTTTTTGAAGTTGTTCAGGAGAGACAAAAAATCGATATAGTTTCGTATTATCTGTCAGTTTGCATCAAAAACTAAATTTTGAATAAAGTGGACTTGGCACGATTTCATTTTTAAATTAAGAGATTAACAAACATTAAAAACAAACGGTTTTTGTATTTTAAGAACAAAAACTCGATATGAAGGCGTTTGGGTTTACCGTTGATTTTTGTAAATTTTTTGCAGACAGTGCACCTTTCATACAAAAATTACTTTTTTTTCAACAAATCTTAGCTAATGGCACTTTATCAAAATTTAGTAAAAGCGAATGTACCACGAAACTGAATACTCAAAATCTTTCTAAAAAATCCATCTAAAAAGGTTTAAATTTTTACAAAAGTTTGCTAATTTTTTTCTAAGTATTGCAAAAAGTTTGAAACTTGCATTTTTACAATTTTTGTTAAAGAGTAAACAATATTTTTACAAAAAAATAAGTAAAATTAAATGATAAGAAAATATATAGTTAAAACTTGTGAATATATGGTGCGTTAAAAATGTTATAACCAGGGAACGGATTTTATGGAAATTGCCTTTTTTCTGCTAAAGAGATAGAGTATATTCGATTAAGAATGTCTACGATTTAGCTTTCCCTGATTCCATATATACACATTTGATGTTTACCTTTTTTTGCCTTTTTTAAGATATCTGCCTATTTTTGCCTTTTTTAAGATATTTGCCTTTTTTTGCCTTTTCTACCTTTAAAAAAGTGATTATAGCATTTACATTTTTTTTTTAAGATTAAAACATATGCACTTGCCCATGCGGCTTATAGAAGCGCAGGGACTCTTGCCAAATTAGTGTTGAAAAAATTCAAAGCCGTTTTCTCAGCTAACGTACGCTTGAAGAAAATAAGGGGTGTGGATAAAATTGTAAAGGGCGAGGAAAACGCCCTTATTCCTGATAATATGAACGTTTCAAACGTTCCATATTTAAATTGGGCTCCACTTGTATCAACTTACGTCGAGCGCACATTTAGTACATTCAAGGCTTTTCTTCGCGAAAATCGAATGAAAATGCTGCCAGAAAACTTCAAAATGCATCTTGTATTTCAATGTTACTACAACTATACGGATTAAAGTTTTATGAGTTGGAAACTCGAAAGGATAAAATAGTCAAAGATACAAAGTACAAATTTTTCATATAATGAAACTAGTTCATAGTTTTTCTCTTTTTACCTGTAATATAAACATTTCTAAAAAAAATATATTTTTTGATTGTTCTTCGTATTTTCCCTCTTTCTTTAGTGCCTTATTTTGCTTTTTTTGCAATACCTTTTTTTTTGCCTTTTCCTGCCTTTTTCGCTATTTTATTTTGCCTTTTCCAGCCTATTTCGTTACTTTATTTTGCCTTTTTTATAGGTTTTTAGGTCCTAAAAATCCGTTCCCTGGTTATAACCTAAAATATATGCGTTTTGTATCTATTACATAGTTATAACAAAAGGTGAGCACTTGGTAAAACCGGCATATAACGAAAAAACAAGATTTTGAAAAAAAAAATGCGCAGAGATTCAGTTCCGACTTATAGTTTCTTCTACGTTTTCTCTTGGAATTATCTAGAAAAATCGAAAATACCATGCGATTCGTCGAAAACTGTCCTCGGAACAATTTTACCAGCTTAATGTACATATTTTAAGTTCTAATTTTTTTTTACAACGAGATGTCTAACATTTGCGATATTTTGCGTCCCGACATTTGTTTTAGCGGGACCGGGACATAGTTCTAAAATCCGGGACGGGTTGGCAACCGTGACTGCAATTTATGATGAAACCCTATATCTCCGTATCCGCTTCACTAATCCGTACCAAACTCGGTATGAGCCTTGCTTAGGCTATATCTAACGATAACCACGCCTACTTCCCATATAATGGTAATTTACAGAAACGCGAAAACTGCGATAAATCAATAAATACTGAAGCTAATTCACTCAAAATCGTTTCTTCGAATAACCTCTTAGCATTAAATTAAATTATTATAATTTTTTGGATGAGGGCGTGGCGCCGCGCACTTTTGACCACAAATGTATATCTCGGTAACTGTTGAAACCTCAAAGTAGTATCTTTAAGGGAGATTTATTTTATTCTAATTCTTATTGAATATTTTCCTTCTTTATATACTGCTATTACTAACTAATTACATTTGTTTGTGTGAAGGCCTGATTGGACACTCAAGTACATAGTTTATGACTATGTGTGATAACAGAATTTTAATAGTTTTCTTTTTCAAGTGCATACACTTATAATTACTTATATGATATAATATGTATGTATGTATGTTTGTATACAGTTTTAATGTTTGTTTGTATGTATATAATAAATGTATATGCACTTGACTGTATTTTTGTGTGTTTAAATTTTGTGGGATTTTTCCTATGAATTTTCTTATCGGCTAGATATAATTAAATAGAAAATGTGTTCAAAGATATTTGAACATATTGCCGAGGGAAAAGAATATAAATGTGCTATTTTCGAAATGTTAATAAGTGGACTGTATGTGTACATGTTTTTTTATCTTTATGTTTATCCCTGAACATTTTGCGAGCGTGAAAAACTTATAGTAATTTTATCTTTTGATTTACATTTGTATATGACATAAAATATTAAAAGGCATATGACAAGTAAAACTATTAATATTAGGGCCAAATGTCCGCTATGATTTTTTAAGTTTAGGTTGCTTATCTCTAGTTCATTTTTGGTATCTTTGTTGATGTTTTTGATGATTTCCGACTGATAATGTTTGCCGTAGAATATATCAATGACACTTGAACTTTTAGTCTCTCTTTGATGTTATGCTGGTTATTTAGCAGTAATCTAAAGTTGGATTCTATTTGCTCTTCGCTGTCAGCATCCATTAGCCCAAATAGCATATTATAAATAGAGCCAATCCATTCAAAGGGAGCCCTTCGTTGCCTCTTATTGTACACGATTAAATCGTGACTACTTTTTATCGCTTCATACCGCCTTCCTAGTGACAGCGATATAACCGTGCAGGCTTCCTCGAAATCTGACAACAGGTTGCAATGATTTTTTATTCGCTGTAGACAGCCTGGTATCATGTTCATCTGCTCAAAATATGAGTGGAGGTCATAGTAGATTACCAAATCCCAATTCGAAGTTATGACGTCCATCTTTCCCAGTGAATCCAAATAGATAGCTGTGTTGTCTGGAAGTTGAGCCACTACGCCATTGCTTGCTGTTTGACCACCGACTGCTTTGACTTCATTTTTCAACGTTATGCAAAACAGGAACATGATTATAAGCGCAAATATGTTTTTATTTGTCATGTGTTTTGGCGATTTAGTTGTAGTCAATACTCGTGCTTTTGTTTCATCCGTTGACTTTTCCTGCTTGCAGCCTGACGATGTAACTAGCGGACATAATTTATGGATTGGTCGTTTCAGCACACTATTCTGTAGTTTAAGCGTTACTACACGAACTTTTCCATCCAGTCCTGGATTACATTCCATAACTCTACCAAGCGGCCATTTAGCTGGTTGAGTATTTTCATCCTTTACGACTACAACATAACCTTCTTTTAAATTTTGCTGTGATGTTTTCCACTTGTTTCTTTGCTGAAGTGTGTGTAGGTATTCCTCCTTCCAGCGTTTCCAAAAATCACGCTGGATTTTTTGTATTACCTTCCATTTGTTTAAAGTGGATATATTTATGTCAGATTCTGGTGTTGGTATGGATATCAGTGGTCTCCCAATACTCCGTTTTCGTCATTTAAAGCATATAATGGACGTGAGTTTAATGATGCCTCAATCTGTGCTAGGACGGTTGCCATCTCCTCAAACGTCAGCTTTGTTTCTCCGATTGCCCTTTTTAAGTGAAATTTAATCCCTTTCACACCAGCCTCCCACATTCCGCCAAAATGTGGCCCTGCCGGGGGGATAAAATGCCAAGTAATTGCTTCATTAGCTAAGATTGGTGCAACTTCACAGTTTTGTTTTACTGCTTTTTTAAAGTCGTTGTCGAGCCATCTGCTTGCACCCACGAAATTAAAAGGACTGGATGTCGATACTCTGACTAATGGAAGATCACCCATGATTTGCGTTGCAGAAATTTGTTTAAATCGTATGCATTTGACACAGTTACGTATACAATGTTTCACTGCGTTTTTTATGCCGATTACCCAGTATTGTCGTCTGATGACTGCTTCCGTTAACCGATTTCCTCCGTGTATGGTTGCTTTATGAGCATCTTTAATAATTAATGCCGCCAAGTTTGATTTTGGTAAGATTATGGGATGCTTTGCATTATATGGTAGCTCTGAATTTGTTAGCCTACCTTCCACTCTTATAATGCCATTTTCATCTAAGAAGGGATTGAGGTTTGCTATTTTGCTAGAACTATTGACTGGTTTTCCATTACTCAGTTTGCTTATTTCTTCTTTATAGGTTTTCATCTGTGTTTGGCGAATGATCGTCGAAGTAGCTGTCTGAAGCTCCCCAGCCGATAGGTGTGAAAATTGGCGTGTTTCCTTCTTTCTACGAAAGCGTAAGATGTATGCTACCACTCTTTGTAGTTTTAGCCAACTTGAATATTTGTTAATTAAATTGTCCAAAAAAGATTCTTGATCTCTCGACGTCAATAAAACCGTTACTTTGTTGCATTCGTTTATCGTTGTTGACTCTTGTTCTTCTGTTGATGAAAGCCACTTGGATCCGTTCCACCAAATATCCATATTTAATAATTTGTGAGATGGAATACCTCTTGACCGAACATCTGCTGGATTGTCTTTCGTGTTCACGTGTCTCCAGGTTGCTTGTGGTATAAGTTTTTGGATTTCTTCCACTCGATTTCTAATGAATTTGTCTTTTTTTTTTTGTTTTTTGTTTGTTTTTATGATTTTCAATCCAGCCAAGGGTTATTGTTGAATCACTCCATGCATAAGCTTTATGATTCCTCGCAATGATCATGCAAACTTTATTCATTAATTTGGCTAGTAAATGAGCAGCACAGAGTTCCAGCTTAGGTAATGTTTTCCGATTTTTTAGTGGATTAACTTTTGTTATGGCAGTTAAAAGTTTTACGGAATCGCCAACTTTGATATATATCACTGCAGCGTACGCCTTTTCGGAACCATCACCAAATCCGTGAATTTCTACTTCACATTCCATGTTAGTTTCAATCCAGCGTGGAATACGTACTTCTTCCAATATGCCAACAGTGTCAATAAACAGCTTCCATTCATTTTGTAGATCATCAGAAAGCTGTTCGTCCCATCCAGCCTTTTCAATCCAAAGCTTTTGCATGTATAATTTTGCAACCACAGTGATTGGCGAAAGCCAGCCCAACGGATGAAATATTTGGGCGATTTGTGATAAAATACTTCTTTTTGTCATTTTCTTCGGCATTCCCAAATTAATTTTGAACTGGAACTGATCTTTCTTTGGATCCCAGTATAGCCCAAGTGTTTTCACTGCTTTATTTTCATTTATTTGAATTATTTCATTTTCTCCCATGGTGGTGATATTTTTGGTAATATTGTCGCAATTCGATAGCCATTTCCTCAAATGAAATCCAAATAACTGAAGGTGCTTGCTGATTTCTTTTTGGATCATAATACATTGATTCACCGAATCTCCTGTCAACATGATATCTCGTTTAAGCACTTTCCATTTGAAGTTTTGGCTGACGCATCAAACACAACACGAAGTTTTGTAGTTAATTTATTCTCGCGTATAACAGCCTGGTGTGGCAAATAGTATTTACCATTTACCTTCTCGTTTGCTTTTATCATATGCCCAAGGTTTTGGTATTCGTGAATGAATTCCTTGTAATCATTGCCAAGCTTTTCACTCTATTTGAACTTGGCTTCCATGGATAGCAGCCGAGCAATTGCCTGTTTACGAGAGTCACCCAGCTCCATGTCGTCTTTAAATGGAATTTCCACAATGAATCGCCCATCTGCATCTTGTTTAGTGGTTTCCTCGAACTTTTTCAAACACATTTCGTCTTCCACTTTAGCTTCTTCATCTTGTTCTTCCTCTAGCTCCCAAAATCTCTCAAGGTTGGTTACTGCCGATGTGACTTTGCCTGGTTTCTTATGTTTAATTATTCCAGACAAAATCCAACCGAATTTGGTAGCTTGTGCAAGAACTCTATTGTGCTTTTTTATGCCTCTGTCTATTATTCTGCCGAATATATCACCACCAATCACCATGTCAATTCTATCAGCTTTGTTAAATAATGGGTCAGCAAGAGTGTAGTTTTCCCATTTTTTAAAGTTGAACCTGAAGGATTGATCAGGTTGCGCAGTTGTAAGGGTTGATAAAACTATGGCATCCACTTCTTCGACGTGCTGGCTTAGAAAACGTGGTGTAATTTGCACTTTAATTTTAAATTTCGATTCACCAACCACAACATCTCCTAGGCCATGAAGCTTTGTCATCACTTTTTTCTTTGGTACACCTAATATCTGTGCTGCCTCTTCGGAAATTGATGTTATTTGTGACCCTTGATCAATAAGAGCCCTTAATAATATGTGCTCACCATTCGCAGCTTTTGCTCTCACTTGGGCTGTGGCCAGAATTACCGTTCTTAGACCTGCTTTTGTGGACATTGCCGATTTCTTTTGAACGTTATCGAAGTGCAGGAGCTCATGATGACTGCTGATGTTGCATATTTTACACTTCATATTGCTGGTACAAGTTTCTCCTAATTTGTGAAGCAGGCACCTGTAGCAGATTTTATTGTCTTTGGCATATTTATGTCTTTCATCCGTTGATATGCCCTTGAAACTTCTGCATTCGATTATAATATGATTCGGTATTTTGCAGTAAGTGCACTGCCTAAATTGTCTCCTCGTGTTGGTCGACGTGTGATTCGCTTTAAATATGAGCTGCTTTCGGATTTTGTAGCCTTGCTCCTTTTCGGCTACAGCTTTCAATGTCTGGAAGTGTTGATCCAGAAAATCTCTAATATCAAATAATGTCTGCACCTCTCTAGTCTTTTTAACCGTTTGCTCATATAATTTGAGTCCATCTTTGTCTAACTTGCGAACTATGACTCGAGCAATAAATGGGTCTGCGTTTTCAATTTGTATTCCTAGTGACTGTATTGCGTTAAGGCACTCATTTGTAGTATCGAGCAATTGCCTTACGCTGTCAGCATTGTCACTATTTATCGGCGGTTGATCCATTATCCTGTCCCACTGTGTTGTGAATAAAATACGTTTATTATCGTATCTTTGTTTAAGCAGACTCCACGCTGCTTCATAATTTTCGGTTGATATTTGCAGATGTTGTATTAACCTTGCAGCTTCACCATTCAAACAAAGGCGAAGGCGTAACATTTTTTCTGAGCTTGATAATTGCTCATTTTTGTGAACCATATCCTGGAACACATTGTGGAAATTAGCCCATTCTTTTATCTCGCCATAAAATATTGGAATTTTTAATTTTTCCAATTCCAAATTGGGGCGATAATTTATTTTTGGCTCTTCTTTCACTAAACATCTTTCCAAATGCCCCAGATTTTCAAAATATTCCGCTACTACCTTCTCATAGGCATCTTCAATTTCAGCATTGTAGTATTTTGAAAAATCATTCGCGTACGCATTTTTGATGTCGTTATATAAACTTTCCAAATATTTAATTTGGTTATTACCGATCGCGCTCTCGAAGCGCATATCTGTCATTTTGGTTGTTATTGTTTGAATTTTCTTCATGAAAATTGAAATGAAAATTATGGCACTGTATTTATCTTGCGTGAAATAATCCTCATTGCCTACGCCATCCACCAAAAGTTTCTCGTTATTGGCGTCCAATTCCTTTTGAAGCTTTTCTACTGCTTTTACCACCTCCTCGGCCTTCGACCTAGTTACTATTTTTCCTGCTACATTATTGTATATCTGCAGTACTTTTTCACTAATGTCCATCTGGGATTCAAGAATTTTTCCTCTGTTTATTCCCATGTTGCTTTTTTTTATATTTTTAATTTTTACTATTCAAAAATAAACACTGAGCACTAGACACTTCACTTTTTTATTTTCAGATTTGTTATTCTCCAAAGGAATCGTTGGAGGAAATTGGTTTGGTCGCCCGGTTGACCTTGCTGTGCCTCGACTCACAGCTGATAATATTCCTTTGGATTACAAATTTATTTCATTGCGTACAATATTCTTTATTATACGGCTTATTTCCACCTTTTAATAGTCGCTTGAGCCCAATTTGGAGGCTCGATTGGATCAAATGTTAAAACCTCAAAGTAGTATCTTTAAGAGAAATTTATTTTATTCTAATTCTTATTGAATATTTTCCTTCTTTAAATACTGCTATTACTAACTAATTACATTTGTTTGTGTGAAAGCCTGATTTGACACTCAAGTACATAGTTTATGACTATGTGTGATAACAGAATTTTAATAGTTTTCTTTTTCAAGTGCATACACTTATAATTACTTATATGATATAATATGTATGTATGTATGTTTGTATACAGTTTTAATGTTTGTTTGTATGTATGTATATAATAAATGTATATGCAATTGACTGTATTTTTGTGTATTTAAATTTTGTGGGATTTTTCCTATGAATTTTCTTATCGGCTAGATATAATTAAATAGAAAATGTGTTCAAAGATATTTAAACAGTAACCGACTGATAAATTTGTACCAAACTCGTTGCGCTTAATAACCTTGGTATGGAAAAGCAATACGAACACTCCGATATTTCAGTAATTGAGGACGCTAGTTTACTCCAAGTGAATACTTACAAAATTCTCTTAACAATAAATAAGACTGTTATTATTACAAAAATGTAGTTTTATTTGGGTGCGTTCGAGCTACATAATAATTACGCAATATTGCAGACATGTTGCTGATGCTCAACTGAAACTTTTCTAAAATGTTGCAGTAAAAATGTTTATGTTGCTTTTGATTTGCCAATGATGAGTAACTGATTGTCAAAATTTTGTTCGCCAAATTTTCGCGTAGAACGCGATACTCTTTCATAAAAGGGTTACACTGCCGTATTAATTGCACCTCTAATACACCCATTTCTTACATATACTGTGACTAATATTTGAATTATTTAATTCCTTTAATTAAAGTTGAATTTGATTTTTTAAACCCTGGGAGGTTTCTTAGAGATAAAGCCTTTTCAAACCCATTTCAATTGATACCCATATTGCAGCAATTCCTTTAAGTAATTGAACAAAGTTTTTTAACAAATGGCAACTCTGTTAATGTTTTAACCTATATTTACTTGATTTTAAACATTTACAATTCTATATTTCAAAACACGTCTTTTTTAAACATTTCGAGTTGAAATACCTATTCATAAAAAGAGTTTTGGCCGCATAAATCGGCTGAATACCCCTATGTGCCATGGTCGGCAAGGCTTAAATATCTTTTTTTGCAGAAACGTGGGAAACCATATACCAATCTTCAGAAACCCAAATTTTTTAAATCAACTTGTTTAGCCAAAATGAATTATTTTAAAATAAATTGGTAAAATTGACCATAGTGTTGCGTGGGATTCCAGAAATCGCTACGGTAAATATTCATCATCACCTTTATATAAAGGTTACAAGAATTTCGAGTGGCGGAGGGGCATTTGAGCCCCCCGAACCCCTACTCTGGATCCGCAACTGGTTTTCATTCATTTATATCTGGCAGGAAAGCAGGCTGCGTGCAGCGCGCCACATGTCGAATTTATGCGGATTTCACTACCTTTGGTTATTTCGGCTTGGAGCTGATAATAACACCAGTGCAACTCATTATGTTGAAATCGCGGAGGAGTGGAGAAGAACCGGAACGGAAACAACCACGGTTGCTCCACAGTGTAGTCAGAATACTGAAATCCCGAAAAATTAAAAGAACAAAGCGGACAATTAAATGCGTGATGGAAATGTGTGTGTAAGCCGAAAAAATCTCTTCAGCGCATTAAATACGCCACTGCGAGTAGGATGCCAATGCGAAGGTACGATGGAGAGGTATAACACCCTACGTAGGAGGCAATTATGCTTGTGGTGACCAACGACCGTGGATCAGATGCGTAGGTCTAGACATGGCACTTTCAATGCACTGTAAACGGCAACACAAAAATTTGAGCGATTGAAAATGGTGGAACTATTTAAAAATGTACATCAGTGTGCACTTTCGATGCAATTGGCCAAGGTATAGCAATTAATGATAATTGCGTCATCTATGCAATTGAAGTAATTGAACGTAGATTTTAGTGGGTGGTTCGTATAAGGGTCCTTACTCCTTGTAAACAAGCTTTCTTGCGAATAAATACGTGCAAATGTAAGTACTGACATATTCATACGTGTATACAGGCACATCTGCATGTCGCGTTGCACTAATATTATAAATCCAAAAGTGAGTTTGTTTGTTTGGCTTTGTTGCAACTAGTTCGTATAATATATTTGGTACACTTGTAGGCTAGTCTGATCTTTTATTTTTATGGTGTAAATAAAACACTTGCTTCGCCTTCGTTTCCCAACGTTTCGCTGAAATTTTCAGCATCACCAGGCGCGACTATGTTTATTAAGGCCTACAAAGAAACAAGGACAAAACAAAAGGTGTTAAAATGAATAATAAAAGTGGGCATACATATGTGTGTAAAAACAGAGGCAACAATTATGGACCAATGCGAAAACATATACTCACACGAATATTTAACAGTTGTTACAAAACCTTACGATTTATACATATACATATAATCAGTTCCACTCTGTAGTAGTGTCATTAGTAAGTGGTTCATTTTGCTATACATTACGTGTAGGCGGCCGCGATGTTGTTTTTTGACGGCTATGACGAGGTACGAATAGAGATTACACGGCTGGAGCTGACGGCCTGCCAGCCGAGGTTTTCAGGTACGGCTGCGAAGAGCTGATAAGGTGCTTAGATCAACTCTTATGCAGAATATGGTCGGATGAACTCAAGCCCGACTATTGGAATTTAAGTGTGCTCTGCCCAGCCTTCTAACCATAGGTTCCAAGGTCTTATCGAGTGTAAAATACTAAAGCCCACCGTCAACGAACTGATTGCGCCTTATCAGTGTAGCTTTAGACTTGGAAAATCCACCATAGACCACGTATTCACAATGCGCAAATCTGGGAAAAGACCCGCGACAATAGGATCGACACACACCAACTATTTGTCGATTTCAAAGCTGCTTTCAACAGCACAAAAATAAGTTGCCTATATGACGCGATGTCTGAATTTTGTATCCCCGCGAAACTAATACGGTTGTGTAAAATGGCATTGAGCAATACCATCAGCTCCGTCAGAATTGGGAAGAACCTCTCCGAGCCGTTTGATACCAAACCAGGTTTCGGACAAAGTTACTCCCCTTCATGTAATTTCTTTAATCTGATATTGGAGAAGAGCCGCAGAACTGAATCGCTCCGGCACTATACTTTACAAGAGCGTACAATTGCTGGCGTATGCCGACGACATCGACATTATCGGTAAAAGCAAAAGCTACGTCTGTTTTGCCTTCTCGGGAATAGATAGAACATCGAAGCGAATGGGTCTGATGGTGAAGGAGTACAAAACGAAGTATCTGCTGTCATAACACAAACAGCCAGATCATACGCGTCTTGGCACCCACGTCACTGTTGACAGTTACAAGTTTGAAAAAGTAGAACGAAGTCGTTTATTTGGGAACCAGTATTAACACCAATGATAATGTCTGCCCTGAAATCCAACGGAGAATCACTCTTGCCAACAAACGCTACTTTAGACTGAGTAGGCAGTTGAGAAGTAAAGTCCTCTCTCATTGTACAAAAATCACACTCTAAGTCACTAATCATGCTTGAGCTGGTGTATGGCGCTGAAGGCTCAGTTATGCATACTTGGCATTGCATGGGAGTTGTCACATAAGGAATGTGTTAAATGAGCTTTGCGTCTAAGCGGTTACCCAACGCACGGCATTTCATATATAAAAGTCTGTTGATTTTTGGTTTCTACGTAAAATGGCATGCTATGCAGTGCAGTGCAGAGTATGCATAACTGAGCCTTTAGGCATGGGCATTAAAAACATCTGATCAAGCGTCTCTTAGAGTTTTCGAGAAAATATATTCTGTACGAGAATTATGGGCCTTAGAGCGTCGGCGATGGCGAACACCGCAGACGATTTAACGATGAGCTGTATGAGCTTTACAACGATATAGACGTAGAGCACCGCTGTCTAGGTCATGTCGCACAGAGGGGTATTTGGCCGATTTAGGCGGCCAAAATTCGAATTTTCCAAACGCACTTTTTTCTTTTATAACTGAATATGGGGTGAAGAGAATATACATAATTCTTGACTAGATTCCGTTATTTTTTAGTCCCTCTTTACTTTAATTCGCTCGCACCGCACTGTCAAAATACCGTCTTGATAATTGTTTATTTGGTTTTTAGATGTGTTTAATACAAGCCGAAGTTATAAAAAACTGCTTTAAATCGTGTGTTAATTTTGTAAATTATATTAAATAGGATAATTGTAAAGCAGATAAATACCATATAATCCAAATAGTTTAATACAAATATACAATGAATTGGCAGAGCTACAAGAAAAAATATCGTATTTTTGCTAATTTTAATAGATTAGAGGAATGAAGTACAATCATAAAGTTATGTAACACCACTCAACGGCGCTGAGATTCTTGCTTGGGTGTTATGCTTGACTGTTCGTAGCCTGGAAA